ATTGGATTCATCATCTGTGTTACGCTTATTATCTGTGCTGTTTTCCAGAATTTATGAAAAGCTAATGCATTGAGTAAATTTTAACCATGTACAACAAAAAAACTTTATTAAGGACACTCGTCCTATACAGAATTCTCACAGATAGGTTAACAGAAGTAAACCTAGAAGTTATCTACAGAAAGTGAATATTAAGATCGACCTTTATTCAAATTGGATCTATCATATGTGTTACGCTTATTGTCTGTACTGTTTTACAGAATTTATGAAAAGCTAAGGGATTGGGTAAATATTAACCATATTCGGAAAAATAGAATCCTCTCCAATATATACATATAGATAATGAACAAAACGGCTTCTGAGGGTGAGTTTCTTGTTTTATTGTTTATTATCTCAAGCTTTTGGGTTTCCCAAACCTTTCTACAAGAGTTAACTTACTTACTTTTATGAAAACACAAAGTTCCTGTAGAAGGATTTCTGATACCCGAAAGCTTAAGGTAATATAAAATAAAGCAAGAAACTTATTTTCGGAAGCTGTTTTGTTTATTATATATATATTAACCATGTACAGTTGGAGTTGTGAACCAGTGTTAACTCACATGCTAGAATATTGAACTTGAGCGACTGAAATTGAGATTATTCAGCGATACAGAGATTCTACAATACTTATTAATTTATGAATGGAAGCAATGGTCGCCTCTCCCGTCAAAATAAACGTCGGAATCTGACACCATCTATTGACCGTCGCCGCAACTAGCGCAGCGGGTCGGTGACAAAGCCACAACACCAACTTTGGCAAACTGATAAGCGTCCACCTAGAGACCATGGTTTCGGGCAAATGGCCCTCGTCAGTCTAGGGCGGACTTTATTCCATGAGATCCACACGGTATCTAATGGAATCCTCACAATCTACCAAAGAGGTGTTTTGCTGGCAATCTATGTTTTGCCAATAGATTTGGCCCCAGCCACATTGCCAGCAAAACACCTCTTTGGTAGATTGTGAGGATTCCATTAAATCCCGTGTGGATCTCATGGAATAAAGTCCGCCCTAGACTGACGAGGGCCATTAGCCCGAAACCATGGTCTCTAGGTGGACGCTTATCAGTTTGCCAAAGTTGGTGTTGTGGCTTTGTCACCGACCCGATGCCGCTAGTTGCGGCGACGGTCAATAGATGGCGTCAGATTCTGACGTTTATTTTGACGGGAGAGGCGACCATTGCTTCCATGGATTAATTTCCTCCCGGCAAATTTTCCATCTATGTTTTGCCAATAGATTTGGCCGAGCCACATTGCCAGCAAAACACCTCTTTGGTAGATTGTGAGGATTCCATTAGATCCCGTGTGGATCTCATGGAATAAAGTCCGCCCTAGACTGACGAGGGCCATTAGCCCGAAACCATGGTCTCTAGGTGGACGCTTATAAGTTTGCCAAAGTTGGTGTTGTGGCTTTGTCACCGACCCGATGCCGCTAGTTGCGGCGACGGTCAATAGATGGCGTCAGATTCTGACGTTTATTTTGATGGGAGAGGCGACCATTGCTTCCATGGATTAATTTCCATCCCGGCAAATTTTCCATCTTACTTATTAATTTATTAACCATTTTGTAAAAATATTATGGTAATATGCAAATACAGTTAAACCTGTCTATAGCGCCTCCTCTAAATAGCGCCTTCCTCTCTATAGCGCCCGATTTTAAATACGTAGTACGATCGATTTACATTAAAAGTGACCTGGTCTATAGAACCCCATCTCTATAGCACCCTATTTGGTGAGTCCCAAGAGGGGGCGCTATAGACAGGTTTAACTGTAATTATTTTATTCGTAAAAAAATAATGGTTTCTAACCCATCAAAATTTATACTACTCCAGACTATAATGCCGCCAGTGTAGTTTTAACGATTTTTTGTGTACATTAAGGATCAAATTTATTTGATTTTTCTTCATACTATATCATTTTGACTATAAGAAATCAAAATATTTTTCATAGAATATAAATTCTCCAGAATTGTGATTGATTTTTTGGAATGTTGCACAAATTAATTATTCGATTTCTTTGAAAGGCATTTAGAAGTCGTATAACACCTTTACAGAATACGATGAAAACTTTCAATTTATTTTTAACCTTCTATAAATATTTGAGATAATAAAATATTGATTAAATAAAAAAACCTTTATATCAATTATTAAGCTAAAATCATCAGGCATCTAGATATAAGTTCTTTTTTTGAAAAATTCAATTTGGATCTCTATAGCTTTGGGGCATGATAGTCCTTCTACAGAAAATACGATGCAATAATGCCCCGAAAGATTTAATGCCCAAAATCTAGAGATTTAAATTAAAATTTTCCAAAAAGAAACTTATCCATGTAATTATGATGATTTGAACTTAATAAAACATTGATTTATAATTCCTGATAAAGAGGTAACGTGGGTTTTTTTTTCCAATTCACTCTCAGTTGTTAATTTTTTTTCTACCAGCTTCTTTTTTATGGTCAGATTATTTCAACATTTTTATGTTGTTTCACCAACTCTGTGAATGTTGCAAAAGAAAATTATATATAAAAAAGAGAGAATGGTTTTTCTTGCACAATGAATATCATCCTCCGTACTTGTAAAACCTATGAATATATACAAAATTATTTTATAAAGCGATTTTAAAATCTAATTGGTGTTGTTCAACACATATAGCTATTGAAAATAGAGCAATCCATAAATAAATATTTGATTAAAAAGACATATATTTGATCAAAATATTATTTTATTTTACCAATATATGCCTTTTTAATTAAACATATAGCTATGTAGTAGAAAATTCCAGGTTCGAATTTAGGAAGGATCGCTTTTCAATGGTTTAATAGTTCTCGTAACATATAAATACATTTTTGTCTCTTAAAGACATTTTATCGACAGTATGGTAATTATAGGTGTCGAAGGGCTTTACACCCGAAAGCTTGTATTGTCGTGATAGCAAAAGAAACTCTTTCCTCAACGAATTGTCTTTTATTTATAAATAAAAAATGTTTATTGTACAGATAAACGAGAAGCAACAGTAATACAGTAACCTAGAATTTTATCTGTTAGAAGAAAAGGATAATTTAAGATAGGAAATTTTTCTTTGTATACCGAGTGTTTTGGATTACGAGTTTGTCTCTGGAACGGATTCTGTTCTCAAACCGAGGTACCGACTTCTTCATAGCATGGAACATTATATTTATTAGATATTTTTTTATCAATAAGATTACTTTATTGACCTTAATTTCTAGCTGTCGAGTTTGAAAATCAAGAGAGACATTTTATATCATTAAATGAAAAGATGCAGAGAAATCAAGTATTCAGCTAAGATATGAATAAAGATGCTTCTTCTTTCATATCTAAACTCAATCATATTAGGACATCAAGCCTGTAGAACGTGGCAACCACCATGACTGGGTGAAGTAGAATGCGTCTGCTTTTGTCATTAAGACTGGGAGCACTACTCAGTGGCAGGCCGACTTAGCTCCAATATGAAATGACCGCCTCTGAAATGAGGAACAGACTCCATTTGCAGCCGCTCCTAATATGGAGTACAGACACTGCTCATCCTGTATTCCTGGATCAGGAGTCCTTACAGGGTACTATCATCCGGGCCAGCTGAGTCCAGGTTTTTTTTTAGCGAGCTCGTTACTGCTCACTCTCCTCCTTTTTCATCTGGGCTTGTGACCGCAAATCTATAAATGCTAACTAGAAAAGTAACTAATTGAGAAACACCTTTGCCCGAAGGCTCGCGGTTAAGGTTAATTCAAGATACTTATTGCGAAAGAGAAATATCCTTTATATATATAATTTTATTACTTTCTCTTTATTTTTATTATAGTATATGACACTAAGTATATTGATACTGTTTTATACATAAGACATACTTATTCAGTAATTGTACTCTTTACCTTCAACAACTACTTTGGCTCTCCTTCTTTCAGAATTTTCTACCCCAAGTAAATTACATTAAAAACCCTTTTGTTGTGATGAATACAGATTTGACATTATTGTGGCCACGCCACTATTATGCTATATCGAGAAAGTTCAAGTATAGGTAACAAGTTTCCACCTTCACTGATGTCACCGCCAACACCTGGGACTTTTAGTCCATCAGCTGGGCGAGAGTCCGTGCGGTGTAGCTCCGCCCATCTAACATGGAGATACCTTCCTACCAGAACTACACTTTAAACACCATAGAAGTTACAGAGCTCGAAAAATAACTTTCGTATTCTATTGAACATTAGCTTTTAGTCATACCATAAAATAGTTTTGAAAATATTTTTAGAATGATCTTCAAATTGTGAGAAAAGGCTATAAATAGGAAGGACTTTTTATTCATAAAAAAAACCTCAAAATACAGTTGATACCGCGTGAAGACCAAGTTATAAAGAAGGGACTCGGTGACTTAAGGAGGATCTTAATGAAAGACATTTACCTAAATACATTATAAAGGACTGCGGCGAGTGATTATAAACAATACTTAAAGTTACACCGCATAAGTTTCTTTTTTGTGAAAATTCAATATTTATTTCAAAGAGAAATATTTACTATTTCTAACTTTTTTTTTTGAATGAAGTATGAGAGGGTGAAAATATGAAGAGTAATCGCGAACGGAAAAATAAAAGTGTCCAGGGGCGGGAATCGAATCCACAACCTTCTGCTTACCGCATATTTACGAACGGAAGAATACGTCCAGGGTAGCCTAGTGGACATGGCACCTGCTCGGTAAGCAGAAGGTTGTGGGTTCGATTCCCGCCCCTGGACACTTTTATTTTTCCGTTCGCCATTACTCTTCATATTTTCACCCTCTCATACTTCATTCAAAAAAAGTTAGAAATAGTAAATATTTCTCTTTGAAATAAATATTGAATTTTCACAAAAAAGAAACTTATGCGGTGTAACTTTAAGTATTGTTTATAATCACTCGCCGCAGTCCTTTATAATGTATTATAAGTTACTTTAAATATTATTTACGAACGGAAGAATACGTCCAGGGTAGCCTAGTGGACATGGCACCTGCAGGTAAGCAGAAGGTTGTGGGTTCGATTCCCGCCCCTGGATACTTTTATTTTTCCGTTCGCCATTACTCTTCATATTTTCACCCTCTCATACTTCATTAAAAAAAAAAGTTAGAAATAGTAAATATTTCTCTTTGAAATAAATATTGAATTTTCACAAAAAAGAAACTTATCCGGTGTAACTTTAAGTATTGTTTATTTACCTAAATGTTAGCTAGAAATGGTGAGGGCTCCACGTGATATCTAGATACATAACACAGAGGGGGTTAGAGGTAGACTATACTATCTCACACCGTCATGTATTGCTCTACACCCCGAAACCCAACTTCCCAATTCCGACAACTAGATGAACTCGTTGAGTTCACTATTGAACAACAAAAGTAAAATTGAGCGGACTAGAGACCGAAGACAGAACTGCTGACACCGCCAACGCTGAAAGCCGGACTTAACGTCACACGCGAGGCCTCCCATCGGAGTTTTGCACCAGAACCAGCAGACTAGTAATCAGTACCTAGTCCTGGGTCTGTGGAGCGAGCCAAGCTGCCGGAGGAGAAGTTGAGTACCAATCCACGTTATGTAACATAGGGTTGAAATAGTGGGTCCTCCCGCCCAACGTGGAATGGTAAACGACCACAGCCCCTGCTATGATCATCACAGAAGTGTAAGCGCTAAAACCCCCGCCCCGCTGTCAATAGCTACTGTCTAACACTAGCTAGATCCTGCAACAACGTAATTAGTAGAGCTGGAACACAGGGAAGTCACGGCTCTTCATCTGGAACATCTGTTACACACAGCAGCCTAGAATTCAGACTTTATGGTCAACAGATTGCTATTGTCACCGAGTCCCTTTTTTATCCTTGGCATTCAAGCAGTTTGTAGTGTTTCATTCTACCTGTTTTTTTGGTGATTCGAATTAGAAAAGTTCAAATATCACAAGAAGAGCTATCAAAAATGAAAATTCGTTACAATTTCGCTGAAACTAACCAATTCATAGAGTCGCTTTAATCAGTAACTTAAGACACCAGATTCCTACAAGAACCTCAGGAAAGCCTACAACTTTAGATTCAATTTGTATTTCTTCATGTTACCTATATATATCCACTAGATGGCGCTCTGCCATCTAAAAAGCACATGTGCTCGTGGTCAGGAGATGCCTTCTTTATTTTTAATATATATTTATATATTAAAAAAATATTACAAATGTAATATTGTACTGGAATAAGGTGCATAAATTAAGAAAAAGGCATCTCCTTATCAGCAACTTTCAGTTGCACGATAAGGAGATGCCTTTTTCTTAATATACAGGGTGATCCAAAAGTCCCGCACAACTTTAAAAATTAATAACTCCCCGAATATTTGCACTAGAGCAATGCGGTAAACACCATTGTATTCAGGATGCAATGGGATTTTTTATGGCAAATAATGAAAAATTCGAAATTGATTTTAGTTACAATTTTATTCGCCAGATGGCGCTCTACCAGAATCAGAGATTCAGCGGCCAAATTGTTTGATAATTTGAAAAATATAACTGATCGACACGTATTTTCCCTTTGAATACCAGGAAAGAACCCTAATAATATCAAATAACAAATTAATAAAACACCACTTCGCCAAAAGTTAGAAGAAATGGTTAACGATTTTCAAATACAATCAGAGATAGTAAAATAGGTATATGAAAATTAAACATGTAGCAAAAAATGTATATTTTATATGGGGTTTTGTGAAATAGATTGAATGTTTGAAAACACTGCTGATATCAATACACGAATTTTGAAATGTTAATATAGTACCAAAAATTATGATGGCACTATTAATAGGATTTCTTGCTATAGAGAAATGTGTAGTTTCTTGACTGATTGGCGACCCTTGACTATTTAACTGGATATTTGTCATGATCCAACAAATGAAATATAGAGGGAGTGACAAAATATATTTGTCGTACTTTATTCCAAATATCCTATGGGCTTGTCAAATGTTATCATTGTTTATTATACTGGTACACAATTTTAAAAAATTGTGTCCCCTAAAATAAAAATAATTTTTAAATCGACCTTTGCGTTAAAAAACGTGTAAGTAAAATCATTATGTATCATTTTTTTTTTTCACAAAATTTCTAAAGTTATTGGTGTACAGAAAATATTCCTTATGCTATTTTTTTAATGAGCGAAAAGCGAAAACTAAACATAAGGGGGAAAATGTGTGTACCAGTGTTATTCGAGAAGTTATAACACTCTGGTTTGCACGACATAATATGTGAGCAAATGACGAACAAAATATTACTGTTCACATAAAATAGATATCTTGATGTGAGGACAGCATTTATTATCCCCATATCCCAACACAAAGAGCTGCAAAATATTGGTAGATAATATAATGCATGGCAGCTTATATAACACATGAGGTAACTGCCTTCTCTCTTGTATAAGGTCCACAATCCTTGCTCAATGTAGCACCCTTTATTCTCAATCACACCGCATGGAGACGATAAATGACAGAATGGACAGCATTAATAACATATCTGTTGAAATTGATAAAACGTGCCATCTGATAGAAGCCTTCAGCATGGCCAATGTGGTAGGCCAGCATCGATAAACACACGATTTAATGTTCCCCTATAGACAAAAATCGCAAGGCGTCAAGTCTGGTGATCTTGGAGGCCACTGTTATATAAAGTGGCGACTTATCATACGATTTTCACCGAACGTATCCTTCAGCAATTGTTTGGCACCTCGGGATATATGGAGGTCCTCCATCTTTCATGAATGTTATTTCGCTTAGTGCTTTTGCCCTGCAATATGGGAATACCCTTTTCTCTCAAAGGTTGAACATAACGTTCACCAGTTACAAAAACGGTTTTAAAAGTTCTTCCATTGATTTTCAAAGAAAAATGGCCCAATAATAAAAGAAGTGAACCCACACAAAACTGTAACTCTAGGCTGGTAAAGTGGCATTTCTGTAAAAATCCTAGGGTTTTCTGTTGCCCAAATGCGGCTTTTTGAATGTTAAATCTCCGTTTAGAGAAAAGTGAGCATCATCTGTCCACAGAACATTCGACAGCTAGTTTTCATCAATATCAATTTGCCGTAAAACCCATGCAGCGAATTCTTGACGCATCTCAAAATCGCCAACTTTCAGCTCGTGAAAACTTTGAATTTTGTATGGGTACACACAATAGAGATATTAAGTGAAGCCTCTTCGGATATCACAATCATACTCGCGAATTTAACACCAAAAGTTCAATTTGGGATCACATGTCCAGGATAACAAAAGTCAGCAGTTGAGGACATACTAACCGACCTCGACCTTACACCGTTTAAATAACGGAGAGAACACCTACCTATCTAAGTCCACAGGCACAGAATCTGCAATAGACATCACAGCGATAAATTACAACATCGCACCACACAACACAATGGAAAATCCTGAGAGGTGCAATCAGAGACCACAGACCAATTTTAACAACCCTAAACTTCAAAATTGAGAATGTCCATTAGAAAAAATGAACATGGAACTTTAGGAAAGCCGACTTGAAAAAAAATCACAGAAAAGCTTGAAGAACTGTGCAACGAAAAATTGAATTACAGAACGCTTGACAAAAACTTGGAAAAATTCTCTTCGAACATTTCAAAAGCTGCGAAGCATCGATACCTAGAGGTAGACGTAAAGACCTGTGGATACCTTACTGGAAGGACCACAACATCGAGGCAATGATTTCAGAGAGAGAACAATATCAATGAACTTCTTAAAAAAATAAAACAGAAGAAAACAGAAAGGAACTCATTGAAATTAGTCACAAAAAAGAACAAGAAATTTGGATATGCAAACAAGAAAAATGGCAGAATTCTGCAAAAAAATGGATCCAAGAAAGGACAGCCAACACTGGAATATGATTAGAGTGTTAGAGAACAATCAAAACCAACACCAATCCTCCAATACTCTAATCGATATGAATAGGACAGCGAGAACGAGAACAAACAGATGGCTGACATAATTGCTGAATATCCTTCAAGCACTTCCATACTCAACTATACGAATGAAGACAGGACTCTAAAAATAATATAAACCAGTTAGTTAAACAACAAGAAAGTTCCATCAACAATTTTCTCGAGAGACTTCACACTGGATGAGCTAAACTTAACAATAAAAAATCCAAGAGGTCACCAAGAGATAATCTAATCTTGGTCAAATGATAAAACACTTTGAAGACAAAGCTAATAATCAACTCCTACGAATACTGAGCATTTCATGGCAAACTGGTAAACTACCAAAGAATTGGAAGTTATCAATTATAGTGCCAATACTGAAGCCAAACAAAGATGCCAAGGAATACAAGAACTATCGCCAATTGCTCTCACATCATACTTTGTAAAATACCAGAACGAATTATCCACTCTAGGCTCATAGTCTGGCTCACTAACAATAATAAAATAAACCTCTACCAAACTGTCTATAGATCCCAGCACTGTACGACTGATCAACTGTTCTACTTCTGTCAATCAATAATAGATTATTTCCAGGAAAAACCGCCAAAGAAGACCACGGCTATATTCCTTGATATGACCTCAGCTTTTGATCGAGTGTGGAGGGAGAAATTACGTGAAAAGCTGCACAACATCGAGTAAGAGGAAAAACCTTAATCTGGATTGCAGACTTCTTAAGGGAAGAAGGTTAAAGGTTCGGGTCAATGGAGAATTTTTCCAAGGAAGGAAGAACATGGGCTGGTGTAACTCAGGGATCTGTGCTCAGTTCCTCTACTCTATCTGCTATATATTAACGACATCCATCCTTACCTCACTGAAGACACAAAGGTTGCCTGTTAGCAGATGATATAGCCATATGGCACAAAAGTAGCAGCATAGAAAAATCGTAAAAAATACTGAACACATCAATGAGAGGACTGGAAAAGTGGGCAATGGAACTCCAAATGACCATAAACCCAATAAAACCAAACCTATGCGTCTTCTCCACTCACAGGGAATCTACGTATTCATCGTAATTCGCAAAATGCGTGGTGTCGCTGGAGACCCACTGGCGATTCTCCAC